TAGAAATGCCATGCTACCCCTTTGGACCAGTGGGGGTGATCCCGGTCCCCACCCTGACGGCTGCCAACAACCAGCAGGTATTCGTGGTATCGTACTACACACTGAAGAAACAGCCGGAGAGGTCGGTAAAATAGCGGACGCCACGAGACACCTAGAGCTGCATGAAGAGACATCCACTCTTCACCACCACCTAGAAGCCCTCTTTGCTACTTTCTGGGAAAAACTGGAGAGAAAGATGACCCTACCTGCTCCACAGTCTGCTTTGACACCCTCTAATCTTAACAGATGCACTCCACGACGTAAGGCTCCTGTCATCAAGGTCCCAGCGAGACGGAGAAGGCAAAGGGCGCAGCAGCGGCGCATCAGGAAAGCAGCCCCGAACACAGCGGAATGCCGACGAACCCAGCAGTTATACACCATCAGGAGACACAGGAGGGAGGTGAATCTGGAGGAAGAGAGATGGGGAAAGCAACTGCAGACCCAGGACCTGCAGCAGACTGCAACAGCTCCGAAGAAGGAAGCACATACCATGGGATAGGCTGACCGCCATGTTAGAGCTGCAGGTTATACCCCTTCCCACTGTTTTTACCATGCTATACTAAGTTTTGAAGCAGGAATGGCATTCACATAAGTGGCAGGTCATTAAGGATGTCCCTAATATGTCTCAGTACAGCCTGGGGTGGTATACTAATTATGTGGGCAAAGATGCAGGCTACTTGTGTTGTTCCATATCTTACCCCCGTTTGAATTCATACCCAAAGGAATCCTCACACAGGCTAGATTTAGTTACTCATAGGCTCAGCATGTTTATCCTTATTTACTTCTAGCTTACTCTACAGGCACTTAGCATGTCTATGTTACCACACTGCTCATATTTGCTAAATTTCATTTATTAGTCATAAAATTATGCGGTCAATCTGCATGCCAGTTTGAAGTGTTATACCGTTTGTTATTACTGAGCTTGTCGATGTTGTTGTGGCATTCTCAGCTCATCTGTTATTCTTTGCACAGCAAAAATAAAGAATATATATAAAAAAAAAATTGCGGATATGCTAGCCCCCCGTTTACTTAAAGTGTATCATAAGGCATCAGAGCATGGAGCACTCCCACCAGAAATGCTGCTTGCTACCATGGTAACATTGCCCACGCCTGACAAACCAACGGACCAGTGCAAAAATTTCCAGCCCATCTCCCTGCTAAACACTGATGCGAAGATCCACGCAAAGATTCTTGCCAGTAGACTCAGTCCTATCCTCCCGTCCCTAATTGGTGATGATTGGTGATTCAATTGGTTTCATAGCAGGGAGACAGGGCCTGCATAACACATGCAAATTGTCGCTGGGCCGGGGTGGTCTACTGCTAGCATTGGACGCCGAAAAAGCATTTGACCGTCTCAGCTGGAATTTTTTAGAACACACCTTAACGCCCCGCATTCTTATGACAAGTCTTTGCATTATACTTAGGCCCCACTGCTCAGGTAATGCAATCAGGTGTCCTATCTGAGCCATTCCCAATTACAAATGGCACGAGGCTGGGTGCCCGCTCTCGCTATTAATAAATGTTCTGGCCCTGGAACCACTTCTGTGTACAATTAGGCAACACCCTGACACCCATGGGATAGACCTTAATGGTTGTGAACTTAAAATAAGCAGATTTATGGATGATATCCTCTTATATGTTTCACGGCCAGAGTAATCGCTGCCACATATAATAACGTTAATAAAAAGGTATGGGGGCATGTCTTACTACTTGCTTAACACTGGTAAAACCCAAGCATTGAGCATGAGGCTCACCACACAGGAGTTAACCAATCTTAAAAGAGATTATCCCTTTGAATGGAGGTTAGACAACCTTAAATACTTGGGTCTGACCTTTCGCAAAAGCCCAACTTTCTGCAGCAACACTGATCAGAGCGATCACTTACTGCATCCTGACCATTAACGCAAAACCGTGGATAGATAAAGGGGTTACACACTTATCCTATATGCTCTCATACAATAAATTAACAGACCTTAACGTCCTTCAGGCCCCCTATCACATAGTCCCTGACTCACAGTTTTCACACATACAACTCAAATAGTTTTTACATCCATTCACCTCGCTGACCCGAGGAGATGCCTTTAAAACTATGACAGGATGGGAACAGATGGCTATTAGGGGATCGCTGCTACAACAGTGTAAATGGATCTCCTGGTGTTACCAGCTTCTCAGGTCCTCGATACAGTTTGCTGACAAACCCGGCTGTGCAATGGTCCCAAGACCTGCATAGTACTCTACCCCGGGAGCAATTGGAAAAGATCATAAACACACCTAAGAAACTACCTAAATCTTGGCTAGACCAGCAGATAACAATTTTGTATAGATGGTACATGGTGCACACCACATACCATATATCCCTACTCCTCCCCATATGTTAGAGGTGTGGCTTAGGAGAAGGTACGGTGCTCCACATATGGTGGAACTACAAGCAGATAACTCAATTTTGGGACTCAGTCCACCAACTGGTTAGGGACACCACAGATATTACCATACTCTTTGAACCACTAACGTATCTCCTGCTGAACATATCTAACAAAACCTCAAAAGGGACACAAAAATTGACCTTCCACATTCTCCTAACCGCACAACGCACAATAGCATGATTGTGGAAATCCTCAAAGCCCTCGCAGGTGGAGGCACTCATAACAGACAATGACACCCAACACATATATGAGAACTGCTACCGCAGTGTATTCCCTTTGACAGGGCCAACTGTGGAGAATAGTGCAGCTTGCTGAAACACGAAGGGTCCTACCTACAGAAGCTATGTGTGGCACTATAAACTTACCCTGGGATGTTGCAAATAAATGACTCAAATCTGCTGTTCTGCTACTAACTGTGGATGTATTGCTGATGGAAGTTGTGAATCCCCTCCCCCCTCTTCCTTTTTGTACCTCTTACTCCTTTTCTGTGTTTTGAAAATTATCAATAAAAACATTAAATATATATATTAAAAAAAATCACTTAGTTTCTTTACATTTTGGTATTCACAATAATGATCCTATAATATAACAAATTCATCTATATATAGCTTTTTAAATAGATATCAAATAGGAATTCATAAATACATAGAAGTTTAACTCTATGATATTGTTATTGATATTGTTTATATATTGTTTTACTTTTGCTCTTTTTTCTCCTATCGCTGCTATATGCTTTTCCCTTATCTAAAATGGCCACAATGAACTCTATAAGACACACCCAACTTGAAATAAACTAGGAAATCAATCAGCACACCAGATTACAATAATTAACGATCTTCCACCTATATAAACTTGGACTTTAAAGAGGCACTGACACTTCTGAGGAATCCCTGAGGGGTGAAACATGTAAAGTGTGTATTGGAGCTATTTTTACTTTGCATATATTTGTTTCAACTGATACTTATATATACTTTTTTATTCTTATGTTTGTTTTTTAATATATGGAAACAAGTAATATTTTATTATATATAAGCCCTATTTTATTGTTTTTGCTGCTGATCCTGGTTCCTGCTATATCCCAGGTGGGGATTATACCACCAGAGCTATACAAACTAAAGTAAGTTACTGCTCAAAACATTGTAAGTAGGATACCTCTTGATTTCTTTTTATTTTATTTATATCTACCTACTATACCATTGGAGTATCTCTTTTTCTGTTGGAGCACTATTAGATACTCTTTTGAGCAGATCTTCACATATCCGGAGGCAGGGATTGTACTGTCCAAGCGCTATACAGCAGAGCTCTTAGCAGCTCAGACAAGTGTGAATTTAACATCTATATAGTTTTAAAACATTCTCACACAGATCTTACATATTGCACTATTATCTGTATATACTGTTTTGTGTTCCTGTGCAATCTGGAATTGCCAATCTTTGACTGTTAACCCCTTCCCACCCATTTCTCTCCCCAGCTTCTACTTTTGTTCAACAAAGTTTCTTGTCATTTGACTTGGTCTGTTCCAACCCCAATAATTTGCTCCTGCATCCTAAACTGCCAGATGGCAGTTGTGCTATATTAAAAGGCCCAAAACAACCACCTTCCAGACTTTTCAACTGGCCTTCCATTCCAGACCTTCACATAATGAAGTCTCCAGTGCACTTCTTCCTTCATCTCCAGATTGAGGGCTACTAAAGGTCCTGTCTCAAGTGGGTAGCTTTTAGTCTTTCTAGGGCTTTGTACTGAAGAGAGCCCAGAGAAATGGCTTTAATTGGCAAAGCTAGAAGTCCTATCACTCTGGCCAGGTGTCTGTGTTGGATTCTAGCTGTAATATTTCTCTGATCTACTTTCTTATGGATAGAAAGAATTAATGACTCCCCAAATAAAGGGGATGGTGAAACGCAAATGAAATTATAAATGGTGTCTTACATACGCTGTATTAAAAAAACTACTGTACAGTTGGGGGGTGGAGCTTTCCTCTGAACGAGAGTGGAAGCATTTCCCTGCTGCTCCCAACTAACTGTGACTATCTGAATCTAATCACCCGTTTTGCCGCCCATCCAGAAGGGAGAACCACTGATGTTAACCACTTGCGTTAACCCCCTGCACAGATGGATGCCCTTCTTTCAAGACCCAAGGGCGAAAAAACTGAAGCGGAGGCCTGTGGCCTACTCTTCACTGGCCCTCGCCGGCTTGAACTCCCTCTTAAACAGAGTGACGGCACTTGACCTCTACCATACGACTGAAGTGGCCCAATCTACATGGCCAGACAGCTCCCAGACTATTAGATGACAATCACAGAGTCAACCAGCCGGTACCACCATCGAGTCTGGGGAAATTGTGACTCTCCTACAACGCCCACCTCAGCCCAAAATGGTGGCCATGGAGGGCCCTAGAGCCTCCACTACCAGCAACCCTACGGAACTATCAGACCCATCTTGACAGCCCACGGAAGCACTACCGTCCTCCTGCACACTCCCAGAGGGAGTGGAATTGGTCACCAAGCAGGATATCCAAAGATTTCTCCTGGAAATTAAGTCAATGCTTGGAGCTGATATAGCAGTAGTTAAAGATGTTAAAGCGGTACCCGACAGGGTCCGCGCCTCTGAAGAGGACCTCAGGGGTGACCTGTGCAATATGCAGGACTCCCTCAGATGTGTTGAATCCTCTCAACTGGACCTCATGGCCCAAGTGTCAGCCATGGAGGACCGCTGCCGCCAGTATCATATCAAAATCAGGGGAATCCCTGATGATGTCCCACTTGATGAGTTGCCACACCTCCAGAGTTGCCTTATGGTCACATTATTACCTCTACACTTGGCCAGAAAGCTGGCACTTGATGGGATATACTGCTTACCAAGGTCCCCAACTGCTCCTCCTAACGTGGCATGGGACACTATCATCCGCTGCGCTTCCATTTAAGACAAGGGTCATATAATGAGTATACAGTACAAAAGCGATCACCTTAATATAAAAAGTGGAATTAGTATAAAGTGCAGACAAACCCCACAAAACAGGTTTAACTAAAATAAGTCTCCCAAAACTATGGGAAAAATATGACAGGACTCCTCTGGGTCCTCAATAGTATAGAAACACAAAAGTTATCTACAGTGGGAGAAAATGAAAACCTCATAGAGTAATAAAGTGGATAAACCTATAAGTAGTGCGCTTTAAATTGCACTCACAAGATTCAAATTGATTGTAGGCGTATCATATATTGTATGATGACTGAAAATATCCTCGGACACAAATGGGCATATAGGAGAAAGTGGAAATAAACAGATAAGTGTAGACAATATAGACAAGGAATGACACTTAGAAATGTTACACTTACAAAATCCAAGTAGTATTAATGCTCATCACACCTCGAAGGATGTAGTCTCTGGCTGCATCCCAAGAAACACTTCAAGATGACTGACTGAGATTTAAGTGAATTTATTGTACAAAATAAGAATAAAAAAACATAAAAACAAACAACTCTCTAATACAGCACCAACTCTACGTGTTTCGTCCATTCAATACCAGGACTTCGTCAGGGGTTCAGTATATCTTTGACATCCCGTGAATGTAGCTTGTGTCCTGGGTATCCCTCACTTCTTTTTATGCCGTTTTTTTTTTTTTTTTTTTTTTTTCCCGCTGCTTTCTCCAGCCTGTCAGCGATGAGTGGTTCAACTGTTCCACATCCAGAAGTGAGTGCGTTCCGGACCTCGTTCTCATGTGGCGCGTACGCGCTACACCCTTCACAGTTCTTCAATGGATGAATTACGTGTGCGTTCCATCAGGGAAATCGAATACAGTGCTTGCGTTTCACAGCCAGCGCCGTATCCCGAGAAAAATTTAGTCATCTATAAGTCCAGTTTATAACTCGCAAACATATTTTAAGGAGATATTAGAAAGGAACAAACATCAAAATACACTCATATACATTGTACAATCTTCTTAATGTTATGAGGTTAAAATATAAATATAATATATATATTATTTACCGTTATACTTTGGCTAATAATGTTACTAACCAAAAATTTAAATAAATGTGAAATATGGATAAAAAGGGGCAGTCAGAAGGTTTTATACTTATAATTCTAAATGTAAGTCACTTATGTAAGTAAAAAAAAAAATACATTTCAATTGAATTGATGTAAAGTACAACTATAAATCTTGTGACAAAACCCCTGTTTTGAATGCCCTACCTTTTGTATTTCGTCTGCTGTTTGTGTAGTTAGCCCTATTCGTTCTTTCATTAAAAAACGCACAAACTACCGGACAGCCAGGCCACCCGCACTGGGAGTGTGCAGCTCATTAATTGCCCTGAAGCTGCGGTTAACCACAACTATTTGTTGAATGGCTGGGTGGTCGCCATTCATTTGAACCAACACGTGGCGGCGGCCATTTTAAACTGACGAACGCAAAGCGGTGTTTGGTCATTGACCGTGTGGAACTATTTTTGGCCACAATTTCACATGAACACCGCTGGGACTATCTAACTTCCACCTCGTTCATTTCCATGAAGGAGACCGACCCCAGGTAGCTCAATCCATGGAGCTAATGGACATATTTCAACAAACAGTCGGAGAACAGACTCTTTAGCTCCATGGTGATTTGACTGTGTTCATGGGATCTGATGGCTGTTCGAATATATTGAGCGCTCAGACCCAAGCTATCTGGGGATATGTCGAATGATGGGGTTCCGTTCTGGAAAAGCAAAGTTATATATTTTAATGTATTTTTGTTACTTTTGTAAAATATAAATATTTTCTCTACCTGGAGATAATTAAGTTTTCTCAGGCCACTTAACCCAATTATCTCCAGGATAGAGAGGAGGGATTTCACTGTTCATGTGGGAGTGTGTTATATTTTATTGGTCACTGTATTTGATTGGTCACTGTATTTTGTGTTCCTGTCCTCCACAAGGTCCCTGGGGAAGTAACCCTTGCTGGAGGACCTGCATAAAAGGCCGAGCTGTGGCCATCAATAAACCAGATCGTTTTACCCCTTCATGAAGTCTTGGCTCATGTTTGGGGGATTGGGAGATATATTTCACAACACCTTTGTATTTACTTGGATTTCGGGAGACACTGCACGGATATACTCAGCTGGAGTGTAAGATATCCGTAACAAATCTCTTATTTAAAAAAGGAGATTCCTTATTTTAAAAAGCACACCATATCAAAATCCGCATTTAGACCTCTCGGTTGTAGGGTTTTCAATTTGTGGATCCAGAACCCCTCTCTTTTTCTTAGTTTCAGCATAAGGTCTCCTCTTCTATCATTCAAAAATACTTGCTCTAGGGTTGGTGCTGTAATAGAAAGTTGTTTGTTTTTATGGTTGTTTTTTAAAAAAAAATAAACATTTTTGTACAATAAATTCACTTAAATCTCAGTCAGTGATCTTGAAGTGTTTCTTGTGATACAGCCAGAGACATCCTTCGAGATGTAATGAGCATTAATGCTACTTGGATTTTGTAAGTGTAACATTTCTAAGTGTCATTCCTTGTTCATATGGTCTACACTTATTATCTGTTTATTTCCACTCTCTCGTATATGCCCATTCGTTTCCGAGGATTTTTTCAATCATACAATATATGATACGCCTACAATCAATTTGAATCTTGTTAGTGCAATTTAAAGTGCACTACTTAAAGGTGTATCCACTTTATTACTCCATAAGAGTCATACAATAGCTGCTGTATGAGACACCACTCTTATTTGAAAACTCTAATTTCACATTTTATAACAACCTTACCAGAGCGACACTCCAATGGAGAAGATCCCTGAATTCAGTGACTGGTCGACTGAAACACCGGACTGACCTACTAATAGGGGTCCCCAAGGTCCCTGTACATGGCCCACCATGGAACTGTGCATAAGCTTATGTCTCTTGCTGAGGCACCACGATTTCTAGATGGCACATGCAGGCAGTGGAGAAGACCACAACTAGGGCCTGGGACCCCACTCTGATGGTCGCTTTTGATCCAGGGGGAACAGGACCAGCCCAATCGGGAAATTGACTTCTGTGGCTAGAGGAGCAATGGCAGGCTCCACTCACTGACCTCTATTAGTTTACCTTGTGTTTTGCTACTATTTTTCTTTAATCTGTTCTGGGCTTCCTGGGCGTACCGCAGGCACATATATTCAACCTTTAATCATGGCAGTCACACTTAATTTTGATGAGCTAAATATGCCCACCCAGCCTGTTGCATTTTATTTCCTTATTGCCTACTAGTTCTTCCTAAGTTTAATCCGCTACACCACAATATGATGCTAATAGGGAAATAAATACCATTGCGAGAGCCGCTGTGGGCACAGGGTCTAACTTTAATTTTATTTATATTTTTCCTTATTTTCATTATACTTAAAGGGACACTATAGTCACCAGAACAGCTTATTGAATTTGTTCTGGTGAGTAGAATCATTACCTTCAGGCTTTTTGCTGCAAACACTGTCTTTTAAGAGAAAATGCAGTGTTTACATAACTGCCTAGTGATAACTTCACTGCCCACTCCTAATATGGCTGTTAGAGATCCTTCCTGGGTCATGGCTGCCTAAAATGCATCCAAACATTCAGTATCTCCTCCCTCTGCATGCAGACACTGGACTTTCCTCATAGAGATTTATTGATTCTATTCATCTTTATGAGGAGATGCTGATTGGCCAGGGCTGTGTTTGAATTGTGCTGGCTCTGCCCCTTATCTGCCTCTTTGTCAGTCTCAGCCAATCCTATGCAGAAGCATTGTGATTAGATCAGGCCACCACTTCTGATCATGTCAGAGGAAGTTCACAGGCAGAGGCAGCAGCTTCAGACTTAAATACAAGTAAGATTTTACTATCTTTAGGGAGGTAAAGGGGGTCAAGGGGGCTAGATAGTGGTTTTAACACTATAGGGTCAGGAATACATGTTAGTGTTCCTGACCCTATAGTGCTCCTTTAATCGGCCTTGCTAAATTTGTTTCCTTTTTATCGAAGTTTACAACCAGTGGTTACGCCTCATGTCTTGTGCATAATAGGTCTGTCGAGTTTAAACTTTATAATGCATCTATGCACATTATGTCTAGTTAATCATCAGATGACTACTCATGCATATCCAACCTAAACCTGTGCTTCCTGTTGCATTGTTTTCTTACATCGTTAATATTTCCTTTTACATTAAAAAAAATTGTGCAGATTATTTTGAAATGCAAACTCAATTTGTCTCACCACTGTTCGTGGTTATTTTATGTCAATGTATATCTGTGTTTTTACCACTGCACAAAAAGAATTTAAAAGCAAAAAAAACTGTACAGTCAAGTGATGGAAATAGGAAATTAAATAGACAGTTAACCTGCACCTAATTCTAAAGGTCAGAATAACCCATAAGAAAGCATCCCCTTTTAAAAGAAATATGTCAACATGCCATATCGAAGGGAAATCTGCTGAACTCAAATGATATAAGAACTAGGGGATATGAATCATATTCTGAACTGTAACAGAAATATTCTTGTACTAGCATATGTTACCAACTAACTGTTATCTAGATATCAGTCTGCTCAGATAAAGCTATAATAAAACGAAATAAATGATCAGTGCATTCTTAAAATATACAGTGTATATACTATCACCGTTCTTGGAATCAATGGACCACAAAAAAGAAATAAACATAATGATAGCACTGTATATTTGTATATAGCATGTAGAATGTATTTATCCAACCCCACTTGAAAATACACTCACATACCCATGGCTCTATTAAATGGGCATGAGTATATCATTGTGGTTAAAAATGTTAAAGCTGTTTCATTAAGATGTTCAGGAAATAACCACTGTCTTTCTCTCTCTGTCCTCCAATACAGCAGGTAAATAATGGAAGGAGAGGAGATATCACCACAAAATACTACAAATATATTTAAATGAAACCAAGTATTATGCATAATCGCAAATCTTCACTCC